CCATGAATTTTCCACTGTATTTAAAAATCGAACAGAAACAAACAAACAAACAAAATACTTCTCTACGGCATGTAAGTGATAAAGAGAAATGCACTGCATTACTGAAAATTGGGAGTATATTAAGAAAAGAAAGAAATTTTTACTTCGTTAAGGTTGAAGAAAAGGATAAATTTTTGGGTGACTTCTCATTAATTTGGCCATTGGACGTTTTGAATTGCAATAAGCAACCGTTATCAGTACATCGTTATCAGTTACGAGTAACATGGGATGTCGATCTATTGCTAGGCTTCGATTTGATTCCAACTTAAATCATTCTCTGTTATCCCTGAGGAAGATCTATTTATGAAATCATTGAGCAGTGATTGCGAAATGAAATCTATGTCAAGCTCTCTTTACCTCACCAGCCACCTGTTGTTTTAACGAATAGGAGCATCTTTTTTCCATCCTTGAGTAACAGATTTGTCAACAATACCATGCGTTTGGCCAAAATTGTATCAATTTTATCATAGAATGTGCCGTTCACTTTAATGTCACGTACTGAGCGGAAACTGTCGCCTGCCGAGCACTCTTAATAACTTGTCTGTCTCATTTGTTTACAAATATATACATTGTTAGTGTCATATCTAATTGATTCCTTTGAATACAGTCAAAACAAAAGGAACAAAAAGAGGTAAATTAAACAAACCTTTCGGCCGAGCGTGTGCAAGAAATATCCCTAACGATAGCAACAGCCATTGCTTCACAAGTAAAGCCATCTTGCCTTATCCTTAAAGTTATGCAAAATTCATGCCTTTAAATGTAACACCGTCACCTTCTCAGCCGACTTCTACTTGGAAAGGTCAAGATATTTGACTTGGGAAATAAGTCGACAAATTTTTTGCTTGAAATCATATTTCATCTCATATTTCTTTTACTGGTTGAGCATATCATAAACACTGTCGATTCTGACCACCTGGCCTTAACCTAGAACTGTTCGAACCCAATCGTTTGTGGTTTACGGGTATAATTCGACAGCAAGTCGTGATGTTTCTGTTCTTCCTTGCCATACTAGCGAACACAAAATTATAAATTGAATTGTAAATTGATTTTTATTTCAGTAAGTGGGGCCGAGAATCGAGAGCTTTCAAAATTAGGTAAAATAAGCCTTCACATCTCATATCTCAATGCATCTTCGCATTTGTATCCATATCTTTGTCCCACTTGCTACTTTTAGTCTTCATCATTTTTTCCTGTGATATCTTGTAGATCTCTTACTCCTGGTGTGTTTTCTTTTTACTACGAATATGCGGCTAGCCTTAAGAAAGCTTTTGGCTTCTAGCTTTTAAACTCCTTAGGCTACTTGGTCGATGAAAGGCTTTCATCTCTTTCAAACGATTGATTATGATGAGCAAGCCTTTTTTTGCCCTTATTTTTTCTGATAGGAAACAGTAAGTTCTTACATTTTCACCCCTGCCCCTCTCACTAATTTATGAAAAAATAAAAGTGCTAATAGTGAATTAAACATCTGGGCTATTGTGTGGGCAGCGAACGTGCATAGAATTCTATATATGGTTGAAGTTAATAGATTAATTATAATAGATTCTCCTTTGTAAGCCAAGGATGCAGTATGACGCGACAGATATCCCGTTTGTACTTTCTCCAGTTAATTTGATTCATTTATGCATCATTATCAACTACGTTCCCTCGTTCCAGGTTTCCTTTGAATTCACTTGGGTCTAAAAGGAGAAGAATAAGGAGTTGGAAAAAAAATGTAAGATTGGCTTTCCTCTCTCTCGAAAAAAACAATCGTTACTTTTTGTTTAGTTTTTTTTAACCTGCAATCAGCGACAAAATTGTTGACACATTGATCTTTCCAACCCCCTATTACTTCAATTTATCTTTTGTCCTTGTTAGGTTAACCTATTCGCCCCCTCCCCCCCCAAAAAAATGCTGTGTCGTGTGACTCCGTGAACTTTTAGCTACATAAAGGCAACTATGAATGAGGGAGGGGGGGGGGGTCTTGTCAATGTTATTCTGAACATAAATACCACTCTTCAAACATGATGTGTCAACTAATTTTGACGCTGATTATAAGTAGATCTATATCTAAATTTAACAAGTGATTTATGTATCCTAACGTATGTCGACGATTTCCATAAATGCTTCTACGTAAAAGAAGAGTTACTACCGAAAAGTTTTGTTCAGGGATGAACCAGTAAATCTGGTAACCTAGCTCTTCCAAAGTCAATTGACAGAACGAAGAGATACCAAAAATGTTACAACCAAGAGCTGAGATTAGTCACCTGATTGCCGAGAGAGTAAATTTGGGGCTCTAGTTAACAATCAACAGGAACTGGCCTTGCCGCCTGTTTTTCTTCTTTACAAATACAAACTTAGACATTTCGAAAAGGATCTATTAAGATGGCACTATTCTAGCTTAACCCTCGGCGCTTTCAACAGATCATATGACAGGATCATAAATACGAATTCTTCGTATTTATGAGGAAGCCTTAACGGGCAGCTCAATTACTCATTCACTGCCATAACCTTCCAGACTGACCTGTGTTGTGTTTGTTGTTTTGTCATCGTCGGGATTCTTGCAGACTTCAAGCAGAAAAAAAAGGTTTAACCATTTACTATCCAAGATCCAATTAATAATTCCCTCGTATTACTCTCTTAAATTTCATCGAAAATTGGACAAGGTAGTTTGGTGTTCAACATAACACCCTCAAGCTAATAAGCTTGTCTTTTCTCATAACCTGATTGCAAAAAGACATATCGGTATCACA